GGGGGGTTTGTACGGTAGACATTCACATTTAACTTTTGATTTTGATCTAACAAAACTCACGTTGGTTACTTTGATTGCAATGAGCATACCAACAATGTATTCCAATAATTCCATGACATTTTAGCTATACACGTCTTGCAACTTTTCTTGCAACTTTTTGCAACTTTTGCTATTTTCAAATGCAACTTTCTCTGAGGACAGATATATCTTCTCAGTTTTAGTTTCATCTTTCCAAGGATCAAATGGTGGTCTGATGCGACATCTGCTCCTCGTAAGACTCGGACGTCCTCCAGTGAGCGTCTAAACTTTCGGGAGATGCAAAAGTGGTCAATCTGTTTTTCCATTGTTCTGTCCGGGGAGACCCAAGTGGCCTTGTGAATCTAGGGAAGATTGTACCTCCAATTCCAATGACCAAGTTGTTGAAAGTACAGAAGTTTTGGAACCTTTCTCCGTTGTCATTTGCCTCTCCTAATCCGTGTCTGTCCATGATTTCCTCATTGTGACTATTGTCCGAACCTACCTTTGCATTTAGATCTCCCATGACAAGTTGATGTCCTTACCTGGAAGTTTGTCGATGATGTTCTGCAGGCGGTTATATTATAGAAGTCATCTTTATTTTCCACTTCTGCATCATTGGTTGGAGCATACACTTGTATGATGTTCATGTTAATGACCTTCTTCCTACCATCTCTTACCTTGAGTTCTTTCTTAGTTCCAAATGAGGCCATGATGATCCTTGGACCATGTGCTTCCCAGCCCCTGAATGTCTTTTGAGCTGTTTTTGATATGATCATCCCTACTCCTTCTCCGTGTGGTCCATCACTGTCATTTCCTGAATAAATAAAAAGCTTCCCCTCTTTCATTCGCTTCTGTCCAGACCGGTTCAAGTGGGTCTCGCTGATTCCCAGTATGTGTAGTTGGTATCAGTGCATTTCTTGGAGAACTTGTGCAGTTTTTCCAGCCTCATAAAAGGTCCTAACGTTCCACGAGCCGATCCGAAGAGACTTGGACTTGGATGATGGTGGAGGCTTCTGCCCAGCAGCTTCCTTTCGGCTTTCACTGCCTTGCATCATAAACTCTCCATTTGGAGAAGATCCACGATCAGCCAAGCAGAGATAATGGTTTTTGCTTGTATGTGTTTCCGTAACAGGTTCTTTTTACGAGAGAGGTTGTTAGCCTCGTGACTCAACCCCCGACTTGGAGGCAGGATGACTCTGTTTCAGGAGTCACTACCTGGTTCGCCATTTAGTCGCCTCGTTCGACACACTAGCACCACGTCAGTCCTATTCTTCTCAATGCTGAGACTGCACGGCTAGTTCTGTTCCTAAGTCTGGAAGAAAATAGTCTCTCTCTCTCTCTCTCTCTCTGTGTGTGTGTGTGTGTGTGTGTGTGTGTTCATCAATATATTGCATGAGAAGAAAGGAAGTAGTAAGAAAGGTTTTTTGAAAAAATGGGTATTCCAATGTAAAGCGCATTGAGCTACTTTTTTGGAAATGCGCTATAATAATTATATAAATGTTATATTATTATTACTATTATTATTATTTTTCTAAAGGAGAATCCTCAGTCTGAAATGTTTTTGTAAGACCTCTTTAACAAATATATATAATATATAAAATATTGCCGAGACAAGTTGTGAAGGCTTTCTTCCTTAATTTTCATTTTACTAAATAATGAGCAGCACATTACGAGTGATTAAAAGACTTTTCTTCAAATTCATTTTATATTCTAGAAATAGCAGAGGCAAGCAAGGGGGGGGGGGGGGGGGGGGGGAGCGTTGATTGATTGTGCTTGTTTACCTCTCAATTTGAGAGGCTGACTCAACACTCTAAGCCAATATCAGAACATGATGATGTACATCATGTACCTTTAAAGTAAGTGGCCTCTTACCAGGTACAGTTCGCCCATAAAGCACCGTTGTGCAGTGCCCCCAAAAATGTATATTATAATATAATGTTCTAGTCTACTGACTCTCTGCGAAAAGCACCCACAAACAGATAATTAAAAGAAGCCTGTGGCTATGCGTACGGCCCTCCCGTACGATAGAGCCTCATAGCTATGCTCATGCGTACGGCCCTCCCTACGTACGGCCCTAAGATTTAGATAGAAGTAGGCCTACGCTCACGCCCTTGATAATTGCTCAGCTGGCTCGCGTCACTTTATCAATCGATATCTTGGCCAAGACAAAGATATAATGTATAACAAGATAGTTCTTTCCTCTATAATTGAGCTAATTAAAAGTGTCCTCAATATTCGGTGGCCTGCGCGCTTCCCAGGTTGCCCGGCTCACCCCCTTTTAAAAGGGCCTGCGCGCTTCCAGGGTTTAAGTTTGTCCACTTGTAGTTTGTAGTGTCTGGTTTTATGGTTTATGTGCCGCCTACAAAGCCTAGCTTATGTG